GGCCCCGGGAAGGGGGGTGCCCAATCCCCGTGTGTTATTGGTGGCCCCTTGCCAGGAATGTGCCCAGGGGAGGTCGGGGGGCGGCGTTGGGGCTCTATAAAGGTGCTGTGAGGCCGAGGCGACTGTGTGTGCCGGGTCAGGGAGTGTGAGAGTGCGTGGGTATTCGCTGCCTCTATGTGGACGATGTGGGCAGCTATGGGAGTTTGACAGTTACAGGGGTGTGGGGGGACCTGGGGTTCTGGTAACTCTGGGGATCTATGGGGGATTTTGGGGTGGCTCTGGGAGTATGGGGAGACATGGGAGTCTTGTGTCTATGGGGCAGATATGGAGGTCTAGGTGCTGTGGGGTAGCTGTGGGGTGGCTGTGGGGGTCTCGGGTGACTATGGGCTTCTAGGGGCTATGGGAAGTCTGGATGTCAAATATGGGTGTCTGGGGGCTGTGGGGCAGCTTTGAGGCAGCTGTGGGGATCTGGAGTGGCTATGGGGTGGGTTTTGGGGGGAGATATGGAAGGCTGGGGGGACATGGGAGGTCTGGGGGCTATGGGGTACCCAGTGGGATCTGGGGGGATATTGAGGGATCTGTTGGGCAGCTATGAGAGCCTGGGGGCTCTGGGGCGGCTATGTAGTTTTGGTCAGTCTGGGGGTTAGAGGCTGATCTGATGGGGATGTGGCATTGGGGAGGTGTCTATCGGGCAGCCAGGGTGCAAAGTTGGGGGTCCCTCAACCCCCACGGCTACCCTCCAGATCCAACGTATTTCCACACGAGAGACAAGAGACACAGGTGAGGGCCTGGGGGGCTGTTTGTGGCTGAAACAGGCATTTTTGGGGTCCAYCTAGGGTGTTTGGGGAGAGGTTGACCTTGATGTCTTGGGAGGGTCAAGGTCAGYGTTTTGGATCTTGATTTTGGCATTTTTGGGGCTCGATTTTCTGTTCCTCAAGATCAACCTGGGTCAGTATTTTTGGAGAGGTTCATCTCAGCCTTTTTGGTTCAGTCTCAAAGGTTTTGGGTTAATCTTGACATTCTTTAAGGTCAACCAATATTGTATTTTTTGGCATCCTCCTCAAACCAGCATTCTAGAGAGTCAATCTTAAAGTTTTGAGAGTTGATTTGGCATTTTGGGCGGTGGTTGATCTTTGTTGGGTTTGGGGGGGGGTTGAACTTGCCATTTTGGGAGTGATCTTGGGATGATTTGGGGGTCAAATTTACCATTTTGGGTTGTCAATCTGTATTGGGGCTTGATCTTGTGGTTTTGGGGGGGTCAGTGGTGGTATTTTGGGAGTTGGTCTATATTGGGTTTTGGGGGGGTGATCTTGCCATTTTTGGGTTCAAATGTTTTTTGGATGATTTGCGGATCAAAGTTACCATTTTAGGGGGGATCAATCTGTGTTTGGGTTTTAGGAGGGTCAATGWTGGCATCTCAGGTGTCCATCCAAGTCACGTTTTGGGGGGTTGATCTTGATATTTTTGGACTTGATCTTGCCCTTCCTGGGTGGTTTTTGGGACCCAGATGGGTTCTTTGGGGGCAGCTTGGCGAGGGAGACCCTCTGCCTATCTGCCAAAACACTGACGCCAATGGGGCGGCAGCATGGGCGACGCAGCGCTGGCCGAGTTCGGGGCAGCTGCCCCTTTCCTGCGCAAGTCAGAGCAAGAGCGGCTAGAGGCACAGACACGGCCCTTCGACCTGCGTGCTGACTGCTTCGTCCCTGATGAGCGCCATGAGTTCGTGCGGGGCCGCGTGGTGTCCCGTGATGGTGCCACAGTCACTGTCCAGACCGAACACGGCCAGGTGGGGATGCCTGGGCAGACACTGTGGCATGGGGGAGCCACTGGGCGCAATGCGGTGGTGACACCAAGGAGCATTGGGCTGGTGGTACCTGGAAGGACTGAGAGGACACTCCCTGCTGACTCTGCCTTGTTTCCTCCCCGTGCAGACTGTGACTGTGAAGGAGACCGATGTCCACCAACAGAACCCGCCCAAATTTGACAAGATTGAGGACATGGCTATGCTCACGTTCCTGCATGAGCCTGCCGTCCTCTACAACCTCAAGGAACGTTATGCAGCCTGGATGATCTATGTGAGTCCCCGAGGGGGTGCCTTCCACCAGGGGACCTTTCCAGGACTCCATGGGGCACCTAGAACCAGGGATCCTGTCCCTAGAGCCCTTGGAGCAGCTAAAACCTTCCCCAGCGCCCTTGGGGCACTTAGAACCATGTGTCCTTCCCCATGCTTGCTTGGGCGTCTAGGTTACCTCTTCCTCCTTGAACAATGGGGCACCTTGAGCAGGGGCCTCTCCTCCGTAGCTCAAGGAGGGGCAGGGTCCATGACATGCTCTTGGCTTGCCCCTTTCCCCTCCCCCTAGACCTACTCGGGGCTGTTCTGTGTCACGGTGAATCCCTACAAGTGGTTACCCGTGTACAACTCTGAGGTGGTGGCTGCCTACCGGGGTAAGAAACGCAGCGAGGCCCCGCCCCACATCTTCTCCATCTCTGACAACGCCTACCAGAATATGCTCACGGGTAGGCCTTACCCTGCCGTGGTTCCACCCCGTTGTGGCTCCACTCCTGGAGCTCCCAGAAGCCCATTGGTTCCATCCTCACACTTGCTGTCTCCTCACTTCTCACTTCACAGATCGGGAGAACCAGTCCATCCTCATCACGTGAGTCCTCTCCTCAGGGGCAATCGTTGACCGAGGTGGAGTGGGAGGAGGTGCCCCTTAAGCCCTGTGCCTCACTCATGCCCCACGCACCCTTCCCACAGCGGTGAATCTGGGGCAGGCAAGACRGTGAACACCAAGCGTGTCATCCAATACTTTGCCAGCATCGCTGCCATTGGCGACCGCAAGAAGGAGGCAGCCAATAGCAGCAAGGTGAGGGCTACAGGGAAGCTTGGCTGGGTGGGACAAGGAGGGGAGCAGAGCCATGTCATCTCCACCCCACTTTTTCCCTGCCAGGGCACCCTGGAAGACCAGATCATCCAGGCCAACCCAGCCCTGGAGGCCTTTGGCAACGCTAAGACCGTGCGCAATGACAATTCATCCCGCTTTGTGAGTTGGGGGTGGGACTAATGGGGTGGCGGGTCCTGATGGGACTGAGGAAGGGGCCTCACCTCTTCCTCCCTCCCCCTGGACAGGGCAAGTTCATCCGCATTCACTTTGGGGCCACCGGGAAGCTGGCATCAGCTGACATTGAGACCTGTGAGTTTGGCCATCTTTGGTCTTCCTCCATCTTCTCCTCCCACCATCCATCTTCTCCTCTCACCATCTCGTTCATCCCACCCACCTCTCCACCATCCCACCCTTCTGTCCATTCTCCTGCCATTCCATCCCCTCAATTCTCTAACCCATCTCACCTGCTCTAGACCTCCTGGAGAAGTCCCGTGTCATCTTCCAGCTCAAGGCTGAGAGGAACTACCATATCTTCTACCAGATCCTCTCCAACAAGAAGCCTGAGCTGCTAGGTGAGTGGGATCGTGGGGACAGATCTTTACCTTGGGGACACACAGGGCCACTTGTTTCCAGACCGCTGCCCTAAACCATCTCCTTCTCTCCTCCCCACTGCATGCTGTTGAGCAGAGACATTGCTTATCACCAACAACCCCTACGACTACAGCTACGTCTCCCAAGGGGAGGTGACCGTGGCCTCCATTGACGACTCAGAGGAGCTCATGGCCACCGATGTGAGCAGGGGGTTCTGCGGTAGAAGGATGAATGGAGAAGTCCTTGGGGGCATGGAGGAGTCCTTGGATGGATGGATGAGTGGGTGGGTGGGTGGATGGATGGATGGATGGATGGATGACTCAATGGAGGGCTAAATGACTCTGTGGAGGGATGGATGGACAAGGAGGTGGCCAGGCCTTTGCCTAGTCCCATGGCCTGTCCCACAGAGTGCTTTCGACGTGCTGGGCTTCACAGCAGAGGAGAAGGCTGGTGTCTACAAGCTGACAGGTGCCATCATGCACTTTGGCAACATGAAATTCAAGCAGAAGCAGCGGGAGGAGCAGGCGGAGCCTGATGGAACTGAAGGTGGGGCCTTGGTAGGGAGAACTGGGGGATCTCAATGGCACCCTGGTGACACCTGAGCATGTCTGTCTCCCCACTGCTGCAGATGCAGACAAGTCAGCCTACCTGATGGGTCTCAACTCGGCGGATCTCCTCAAGGGGCTCTGTCACCCACGGGTCAAGGTGGGCAACGAGTACGTCACCAAGGGACAAAATGTCCAGCAGGTGAGAGTAGTCCCCACCCGTATCTCCTCCTCTCCAGGCTCATCCCTCCTCATCCTCACCCCGTCTTCTACCTCACGGGCTTCTCTCAGGTGTACTACTCCATCGGGGCCCTGGCAAAGGCAGTCTATGAGAAGATGTTCAACTGGATGGTGGTGAGGATCAACAATTCGCTGGAAACCAAGCAACCCCGGCAGTACTTCATCGGTGTGCTGGACATCGCCGGCTTCGAAATCTTTGATGTGAGGGGATGCAGGGTCCTGTTGGGAGACAACAGACCTCCTTGGATGACCACTGGAACCTGGTGGTGCCACTGGTCATTACTTGGTCTCCATTGGGTGTCTAGTTCACCACAATGGTCCTATTGAGTTTTAACATGACTTTATTTGGTGCAATGTCGACCCCATTGGGTGTCCAGTTGACACTGTTGATCCCATTGGTCATTACTTGGCCTCCATTGGGTATCCAGATAACCTTATTGGGTGTCTAGTTGACCCTAATGGTCCTATTGGGTCTTATTTTGACCCCATTGAATTTTGTGTTGACTCCATTGGGTGCCCAATTGATCCCATTGATCTAATTGGTCATTACTTGGGCTCTGTTGGATATCTAGTTGACTACATTGGTGCCTAGTTGATCCTGTTGATCTCATTGGTCATTACTTAACCTCTGTTGGGTGTCCAGTTGACCCCAGGGGTTCTATTTGGTTTTAACTTGACTTCAGTGGGTTTTGTGTTGATCCCCTTGGGTGTCCAGTTGACCCTGTTGAGCTCATTGGTCATTACTTGGCCTCTGGTGAATGTCTACTTGGCCCCACTGCGTGTCCAGCTGACTCCAATGATCTTATTGGGTCTTATCTTTACTCCTTTGGGTGCTATGTTGACCTCATTAGGTGTCCAATTGAACCTATTGATCCCATTGGTCATTACTTGGCCTCAGTTGGGAGTCCAGTCCAGCTGGCTTTCCAGTTGACCTTGTCCATTGCATTGAAAATTATGTCTTCCCCATTTCCACCCCTAGTTCAACAGCTTTGAGCAGCTCTGCATCAACTTCACCAATGAGAAGCTGCAGCAATTCTTCAACCACCACATGTTCGTGTTGGAGCAAGAAGAGTACAAGAAGGAGGGTATCGAGTGGGAGTTCATTGACTTTGGCATGGACCTCCAGGCCTGCATTGACCTCATCGAGAAGGTACTAGCTCTCCTTGAGGTCTCCTGGGAAGGTCCTTCGAACTGGGACCAACCAGAGACCTGAAGGGCACCTGTTTGGGTCCCAGTGGATCTCCTCCATGACCAGTGATGTTCTCCATTGTCCAGCCTATGGGCATTATGTCCATCTTGGAGGAGGAGTGCATGTTCCCCAAGGCCTCAGACATGACCTTCAAGGCAAAGCTGTATGACAACCATCTGGGCAAGTCGGCCAACTTTGGCAAGCCCCGCAATGTGAAGGGCAAGCCCGAGGCCCACTTCTCTCTGGTCCACTATGCCGGCACAGTGGACTACAACATTCTGGGCTGGTTGGAGAAGAACAAGGATCCCCTTAATGAGACAGTGGTGGGGCTCTACCAGAAGTCATCTCTCAAGCTCCTGGCCAGTCTCTTCTCCAACTACGCCAGTACTGATGCTGGTGGGTAGATGGAGATGGGTATTGGTGGCGAACGGGCTGGCTGGATGGGAAGAGGGTGGAGAGATTGAAGATTGAGGAGACAGGGCTGATTGGATGGAGACATGGATGGGTAGATCCTTCTGACTTCCCTCTTCTCCCCCAGGCGGGGACAGCAGCAAGGGGAAGGGTGCTAAGAAGAAAGGCTCGTCCTTCCAGACTGTCTCAGCCCTTCACCGGGTAAGGGCAAACCCCACCATGGAGCAGGAACATCTCATTGGACATGGGGTCGAGCCCACTGGCTCCTCCCATGGTTGGGATTGGCTCAAAGCCCCCATCTCCTCACCTAGGAAAATCTCAACAAGCTGATGGCCAACCTCAAGACCACTCACCCCCACTTTGTCCGGTGCCTCATCCCCAATGAGCGTAAAGCACCCGGTAAGAAGAGGGAGGACCTGTCCAGGTTAGATCGGGGCAGAGCCTGGGGGAAGGGACAAGAAACTGATCCCCTTGTCCTCACGCCACCCCTCAGGTGTGATGGACAACCCCTTGGTGATGCACCAGCTCCGCTGCAATGGGGTGCTTGAGGGCATCCGCATCTGCCGCAAGGGCTTCCCTAACCGTATCCTCTATGGGGACTTCCGCCAGCGGTGAGACTTCGAGGCCTCGAGGCTTGAGGGGAGGCCAAAAGTACATGCAGCTTACAGTGGGCCTTTCACATTTTGGCAGCTATCGCATCCTGAATCCTGCGGCCATCCCGGAGGGGCAGTTCATTGACAGCCGCAAGGGAGCTGAGAAGCTCCTGGGCTCCCTCGACATTGATCACAACCAGTACAAGTTCGGGCACACCAAGGTGAGAGCAGAAGAGTCCATGGGGATGGGCTGGGAGGAGCCTGTGGGGGGTGGGTGGGAGGAGCAGAATGAGACAGGGAATGGGTTCTCCAGGTCAAGAAAGTGGGACCTGGCATGAGGGCCCCCATCATCTTCCCATCTACAGACCCCTTCCTCCACACACCCATCCATTGAGTTGAGTCGGAAAGTCTTTACTTGGTTGAGTCAGGCTGGGTTAGAGTCTCCGCTTGGGTGAGTTGAGATGGGTTGAGTTGGAGAGCCTACACTTGGTTTTGTTGAGTTGGCTTGGAGAGTCTCCACTTGGTTGGGTTGGACTGAGTTGAGTCAGAGATCCTCCACCTGGTTGGGTTGAGTGGGAGAGTACCCAGGTGGCCTGCACCAACAAACCTAACTATCCATCTCTCCAACTCTTCCATCCCTCCATCTCCCCACTCCATGGTCTACCTGCTGTCCCTTTCCTCTGCCAGGTCTTCTTCAAGGCTGGACTGCTGGGCCACCTGGAGGAAATGCGAGATGAGCGCCTCTCCCGAATCATCACCCGTATCCAGGCCCAAGCCCGAGGCCAGCTCATGCGCATCGAGTTCAAGAAGATCCTGGAGCGCCGGTGAGGCGGGGGAGGGAGCTCATGGTCTATGGGCCCAGGCATGGGACATGGTGACAGCTCTCTGTCTCCTTATTGTCCCCAGGGACGCACTGCTAGTGATCCAGTGGAACATTCGGGCCTTCATGGGGGTAAAGAACTGGCCCTGGATGAAGCTCTACTTCAAGATCAAACCGCTGCTGAAAAGTGCTGAGACTGAGAAGGAGATGCAGGTGGGATGGGGTTCTCCTGTGGAGCACCCAGAGCAGGGCTGGGGTGGGGACGAGGACAAATGGCCTCAAGTGGATGCCACTATGTTGAGTTCGGCCTCTGGCACAGACAATGAAGGAGGAGTTTGGACGCCTGAAGGAAGCCCTGGAGAAGTCAGAAACACGGCGGAAGGAGCTGGAGGAGAAAATGGTCTCCATGCTGCAGGAGAAAAACGACCTGCAGCTGCAAGTGCAGGCAGTGAGTGGAACTCCCTCTGCCTCTCGCCTTGTCCACAGGTGATGGCAGTGAGGAGTGATGGTTCCCAACACTCCCTCCTGTCCCCCTACAGGAGCAGGACAATCTCAACGATGCCGAGGAGCGTTGTGACCAACTGATCAAGAACAAGATCCAGCTGGAGGCCAAGGTGAAGGAGCTCACAGAACGCCTGGAGGATGAGGAAGAGATGAATGCCGAGCTGACGGCCAAGAAGAGGAAGCTGGAGGATGAGTGCTCAGAGCTCAAGAAGGACATTGATGACCTGGAGCTAACACTGGCCAAGGTGGAGAAGGAGAAGCACGCCACGGAGAACAAGGTGGGGGACCTCAACCCAGATCCCTGGGGACTAGGATGAACAAAGCCTCTTTTGGGTTTGTTGGGTTTGCGAAGACCCAAGGCTGGCTGGAGACTCGTGTCCTCGTTGGCTTGGCCAAGAGGAAGAGCAACCCCTGTCTCTGATCTCCTTTCGACATGGTGCTGGTGGCCTCATGGCTTTGACCTCCCCACACAGGTGAAGAACCTCACAGAGGAGATGGCTGGGCTGGACGAGATCATCGCCAAGCTCACGAAGGAGAAGAAGGCCCTGCAAGAGGCTCACCAGCAAGCACTGGACGACCTGCAGGTGGAAGAAGACAAGGTCAACACCTTGTCCAAGGCCAAAGTGAAGCTGGAGCAGCAGGCGGATGACGTGAGTATGAGCTCAGCATTGGTAGCTGAGATGACAAAGGAATATGACTTCATTCTGTCTTTCTCTTCTAGCTTGAAGGGTCCCTGGAGCAGGAGAAGAAGATGCGGATGGACCTGGAACGGGCCAAGCGCAAGCTGGAAGGTGACTTGAAGCTCACCCAGGAGAACATCATGGACCTGGAGAATGACAAGCAGCAGCTGGAAGAGAAGCTCAAGAAGTGAGACTGGACCTTCCTCCCCAGGTGGACACAGTCTGAGGTCCAAGATGGAGGCATCAAGTCTCTCTGCCTCTCTCTCTCTGCAGGAAAGATTTTGAGATCAACCAGCAGAACAGCAAGATTGAGGACGAACAAGCGCTGGCCTTGCAGCTCCAGAAGAAGCTTAAGGAGCTGCAGGTGAGGACTCAACCTCCAGCCCCAGACACCACCAAGGGTTTCTGGGGTGACCCCTAGGCAGGGCCTAGGAGGAGAGACCTGCCCCAGAGCATTTCCTACCATGTCTAGGCCCACAGTAGAGTCAGAATCTGAGTTGGAGGGTCTCCAGATGGTTGGGTTGAGTTGGGCTGTTTTGAGTTCGATCGAGTTGAGTTTGTTTGGTTGTGTTGGATTGTGTTGAGTTTGGGAGTCTGCAGTTGGCTGGGTTGATTTGGGTTGAGCTGGATTTGTCTGAGTTGGGTAGATTCCACTTGGTGGGGTTGAGTTGAGTTGGGTTGGGTTGAATTGAGTCGAGTTGAGGAGCCTCCAGTTGGTTGGGTTGGATATAGTCCAGCCTGCTGATGTCATATCTATGTCTGGAGTGCAGGCACGCATCGAGGAGCTGGAGGAGGAGTTGGAGGCAGAACGCACAGGCAGGGCCAAAGTGGAGAAGCTGCGCTCAGAGCTCTCACGGGAGTTAGAAGAGATCAGCGAGCGGCTGGAGGAGGCTGGTGGTGCCACCTCCGTGCAGATGGAACTCAACAAGAAGCGGGAGGCTGAATTCCAGAAGATGCGTCGCGACCTGGAGGAGGCCACACTGCAGCATGAGGCCACCGCGGCCGCTCTGCGCAAGAAGCATGCAGACAGTGTGGCCGAGCTGGGCGAGCAGATAGACAACCTGCAGCGTGTCAAGCAGAAGCTGGAGAAGGAAAAGAGTGAGCTCAAGCTGGAGCTGGACGACATTGGCTCCGGGATGGAACAGCTTGTTAAGGCCAAAGTGAGTGGTAGAACTGGAGTGGATGGATGACAGGACCCTCCTTTCCAGTTCAGACTTCTTGGTCCCTATGGTATCCTTGACTCCTTCCCGCTCTCATTGGCTTTGCCAGGTGGGTATGGAGAAGTTGTGCCGTACCCTGGAGGACCAGGTGTCTGAGCACCGGGCCAAGTTGGAGGAGATGCAACGAACCCTCAACGACACCAGCACCCAGCGGGCCAAGCTCCAGACTGAGAATGGTGGGAACCCTGTCCCACAGCCCCCCCTACCACCTGTCTCCCAGGTCCTCAAGCCCTACCTTACCTCCACAGGAGAACTGTCCCGCCAGCTGGAGGAGAAGGAGGCCCTAATTTCACAGCTCACACGGGGCAAGCAGTCCTACACTCAGCAGATGGAGGACCTGAAACGGCAGTTGGAGGAAGAGGCCAAGGTGAGGCTGGGTTGATCTCATGGCGGTTGGGTTGATCTCATGTTGCCAAAGTGGGTCAGCAAGCCTCGTCCGCTAGCTAGACTGACCTGGGGTTGTCCTCGCCCCAGGGCCATAGAGCATAGACACCAGTATGGAGGATGCAGCAAATGGCATTTATTGTGTAGTTCAGTCTGCATATATTCTCCAGTAGAATGCGGAAACTCACCTACTGCCCAATCGGGAGACTAATTTCTACTTTTCGCCTTGTATGGCATGGGGTTATCAGTAAACTGCATAAATTAATTATGCTCCTAACCTCTYGTGACATTGCGAGATCTTCCGAGCGCCATGTCCTATCTCTATGCCCTATGATATACTACATCATCTACTTACGCTAAGCTCTCTACTTTATTAAGCCCTAAAAAGCATAACAAACTCCCACAGTTTCATGTTTGGACTCATCTCATTGTGGTTGGGTTGGTTGGTCTGAAGGGGGTTGACTTGACTTGAGGAGGCCAACACCACTGCCTACGGAGTCAGAGGATGCTGAGTTGGACCAGAGTGACCATTGTCATCAGCACTAATCTTCTCAAATCCGTCCCCAGGCGAAGAATGCGTTAGCCCATGCACTGCAATCAGCCCGGCATGACTGTGATCTGCTGCGGGAGCAGTACGAGGAGGAGATGGAGGCCAAAGCTGAGCTCCAGCGCTCCCTCTCCAAAGCCAACTCAGAGGTGGCCCAGTGGAGGACCAAGTATGAAACAGATGCCATCCAGCGCACCGAGGAGCTGGAGGAGGCCAAGTGAGACATCTCCCCTGAACTTCCCCTGGGGTGCTGAAACTTCTCCCTGTGAGGTAGACCTCCAGGTGGGCACCCAGAAGGCTCTTTGGATAGAGAGACCTGGAACATCCAGCATGCTTATGGGCTGCACCGCTACCTTGTTGTTGACCACTTTTGTGTGCAGAGCAACCAGGCTTAGGGAGCAGGAGCAGGTGATGGACAGGTCCTCAGGTGGGTTCTTCTCTCTCCTATCATCAGGAAGAAGCTGGCACAGCGGCTGCAGGAGGCTGAGGAGGCAGTGGAGGCAGTGAATGCCAAGTGCTCCTCATTAGAGAAGACCAAGCACCGCCTACAGAGTGAGATTGAGGACCTGATGGTGGACCTCGAGCGCTCCAATGCAGCTGCTGCTGCCCTGGACAAGAAGCAGAGGAACTTTGACAAGGTGACATAGGAGATCCATCCAAGATGGTGTGGTGGGACAAGGTGGGGGATGCAGAGGATGCTGACGGCTTGGTGGTGTCCCACCACACAACATCCAGATCCTGTCAGAGTGGAAGCAGAAGTTTGAGGAGTCACAGACAGAGCTGGAGGGCTCGCAGAAGGAGGCCCGTGCCCTTAGTACCGAGCTCTTCAAGCTCAAGAACGCCTATGAGGAGGCTCTGGAGCACCTGGAGACCTTCAAGAGGGAGAACAAGAACCTCCAAGGTGAGAGTAGGGGGCACATGGAACTCCCCATGGCTCTCTATGTCCCTCCTCAGGAACCTAAAGGGTTCTTGTCTCCACAGAGGAGATCTCAGACCTGACAGAGCAGCTGGGTGCCAGCCACAAGACCATCCACGAGCTGGAGAAGGTCCGGAAGCAGCTGGATGCCGAGAAGTTGGACCTTCAAGCAGCTCTGGAGGAGGCTGAGGTGCTGCATCCCCCATGTCTTCCCATGTTGTGTCTCTTCATATCTCTCCTTGCTCCTTACAGTCCTTCTGTCCTCTCCAGGCCTCACTGGAACATGAGGAGGGGAAGATCCTGCGGGCCCAGCTGGAGTTCAACCAGGTCAAGGCAGACTACGAGCGCAAGTTGGCTGAGAAGGACGAGGAGATGGAGCAGGCCAAGAGGAACCACCTGCGGGTGGTGGATTCACTGCAGACCTCCCTGGACGCTGAGACGCGCAGCCGGAATGAAGCACTGCGGCTCAAGAAGAAGATGGAGGGTGACCTCAATGAGATGGAGATCCAGCTGAGCCATGCCAACCGCCTGGCTGCTGAGGCTCAGAAGCAAGTGAAGATCTTGCAGGGTAACCTCAAGGTACCTCCTGGTCTCCAGACGTTCTCCACCTCCGTGTTGGGTTCATGGGGCTGGCCATGGGGCTGTGTCCATCTCACTGACTGACTTCCAGCTGGTCTGGTCTTGCAGGACACCCAGCTGCAGCTGGACGACATAGTGAGGGCCAATGAGGACCTGAAGGAGAACATTGCCATCGTGGAGAGGCGGAACAACCTGCTGCAGGCAGAGCTGGAGGAACTGCGGGCTGTGGTGGAGCAGACGGAACGAGCCCGCAAATTGGCTGAACAGGAGCTCATTGAGGCCAGCGAGCGCGTCCAGCTCCTCCACTCACAGGTGAGATGTGGAGGCCTCCCAGGAGGGACCTCAACCCTGGCCAGGGTCAGTCAACCCTTCCAAGGGCAGAGAACAGGCCTTGAGTGACCTAGAACCTCCATCTAGGGATGTTTGGGTCCTGTGGGGACAGAGGCTCCATCCAGGTCCCTCTCCTCGTGCCTCAGAGCAGAATGGAGATGGACTAGGAATCTGGGGACCATGTCCTGAGCTCTTCCTCCCCACTTTAGAACACCAGCCTCATCAACCAGAAGAAGAAGATGGAGGCAGACATTGCCCAGCTGCAGACAGAGGTGGAGGAGGCTGTGCAGGAGTGCCACAATGCTGAGGAGAAGGCCAAGAAGGCCATCACTGATGTGAGTTGGACTTGAATAGGTTCTCAGCTGTTGAGCAACCTAGGACACTCTCTACCAACCCACTACCCGTAGTTTGATCATGGCCACCTGGAGCATCACCCACTGCTGCGTTTGGTCCTTCTGGGTCACTGTGTCACTCCCTATCCCCTCTGTCCCCATGCAGGCAGCCATGATGGCAGAGGAGCTGAAGAAGGAGCAGGACACAAGTGCCCACCTGGAACGCATGAAGAAGAACATGGAGCAGACCATTAAGGACCTGCAACTGCGACTGGATGAGGCCGAGCAGCTGGCCCTCAAAGGTGGCAAGAAGCAACTGCAGAAGTTGGAGGCCCGTGTGCGGGAGCTGGAAAATGAGCTTGAGGCTGAGCAGAAGCGCAATGCTGAGAGCATCAAAGGCCTGCGCAAGTCAGAGCGGCGTGTCAAGGAGCTCAGCTACCAGGTGAGCGAGCCGCTGTTGCCACCATGCAACCATACAGTGACAGAACACAGTCAATACGGTGGCTTTAGGGGTTTGTGTGGCCTAGAACATTACCCATGATGTAGAATATGCTTGAGCTCATGGGCATAAGCACACAAGCAACTGAGAACATCTCTCATTGCTATGGAGGGAACTAGAATGTGATGGGCCTAGTGTCCACAGGCACATGAGCCACCTAGAACATCATCTGTTGCCATAGTGTGACCAAGAACTTGCTTGACCTGGTGACCAGAGAGATATGAGTGACCTAAGTACTTGTAAAACCAACAACATGACTTAGAATGTGGTCAATCTGGTGGCCATTGGCACATGAGCCACCTAGAACATCACCCACTACCATAGTAGACCTAGAACATGGCTAATGTGATGGCCGCGGGTGACCATCATGGTGCAGACCCAGCAACCATTTTACTCATCTGCCCTGAACTGCTACAGGCGGAGGAGGACCGCAAGAACCTGCTACGACTGCAGGACCTAGTGGACAAGCTGCAACTGAAGGTCAAGGCCTACAAGCGGCAGGCAGAGGAGGCGGTGAGACATCATGGTGGCCCAGTGTGGGCAGGAGAGACCTGCCTGGAGACCGGAAGAGGGTGCTGGGGATGCACATATGGAGGAAATGGTGGTGGATGAACACACAGACCGTTGGATGGGATGTGGGATGAGTGGAAGGGAAGGTGAATAGGGAAGATGGAGGACAGGTTGGGAAGTAGTCAGGTAGAGTTGTTGGGTTGCCGGAGGAGGTGCTGGGTTGGGTGGAGGAAGTGGTGCGTGAGTTGGAGGTGGCAGAGGAGGGGATGGAGGAGAAGGGGATGGGGAAGGAGAAGATGGAAATAGAGGGGAATAATGGAGAAGGAGATGATGGTGAAGGATGATGATGGACAGGGAGAGATGATGGAGAAGATGATGAAGGAGATTGAAGGAAGTGAGGAGGGGATGGAGAAGGAGCAAAAGGAGGAGGAGAAGGAAAGGAAGATGGGGAGGAGGAAATGGAGAAGATGGAAGTGGAGGAGGTGGATGATGGAGATGCTGAAGGAGATGGAAGTGATGGGTGGATGTGGAGAGTCTGTGGGGTGGGCATCACCCCTGTCCCCACCCCCCACAGGAGGCACAGGCCGCTGCCAACCTAGCCAAGCTGCGCAAGGCGCAGCACGAGCTGGACGAGGCAGCGGAGCGCGCCGACATGGCCGAAGCGCAGGCCAACAAGCTGCGTGCCCGGAGCCGCCATGCTGGCCCGCAGGTGGGTGCCACCTGTCCCCCTACATGTCCCCCCCACATGTCCCCACATAGTCCCCCATGGCCACACTCCCCTGAGGCCACACCTGCTCTCACCATTCCCCCCTCCTCCCCACACAGAAAGACCTCGGCGAGGAGTGAGGGAGACACCAGGCCTATAGCACCGTCATGGCCACCAGCTGTAAGGGGTGTCATGATCATGTGCCCCAGGGTGTCCTGGCAACCGGCACTATGGGGTGACATGGTCAACTGACAACGGTGTCACCACGATGTCATGGTCACCTGCCGCATGGGGGTGTCATGGCCACCAACTCTCAATCACCAATAAATGACATCAAGCACCCAGGGCTGCCTCTGTGCGTTGGGGCAGAAGGGTCTCTGGGGCTGTGGGGGCCTCTCTGGGGCCCAGGGGCCTCTCTGAGGTCCTGGTGGTCTCTATGGGTTCATGGGGCAGGGGTGCTTTGTGTGCTTGGGGTCAGTTTCTGTGGGTTCAGGGGCCTGGGGACTTTCCTGGGGGCCTCCGTATGGGTCCCAGAGGCTCTCTAAGCATCACAGCACGTCCCTATGGATTTAAGGGTATCCCTATGGGTCGCAGGGGTTCCCTCTGAGGGAGGATGGGGGCTCCCAGTGTGTCCCTCTGGGTCCCAGGGCTCCCTGTGGGCGGCATTTGGTGGGGGGAGGGGATGCGGCTCCCTCCGCCCTCGGGAATGTGTCACCTCGCTGGACACTTGTCCCGGCGCCGGGGACAAAGTGGTTGTGTGGGGAGGGATTGGGGGGGTGCGGAACTTGGCTACGGCCACCGGCCCCACGGCGCTGCCTCCCCCCAGCCCACGGTGGGGGAGCTGTCAGCATCCCCTGGGCGCCGCTGGACACTGCCCAGGGGCCCAGGTGTCCCTGACCGGCACCATTCCCGCCCCCAGCGCTCGCATCCCTCCTCTGCCACGAGGGGACCGGGCATCCAGGGACCCCCGTTGCACCCTGCACATTCCCAAACCTCCTCGGGGCCCAGGCGTCCGGACAGACATCCTCTCCTTCCCGCTCCATCCCGCAGCCCCCGCACTTGGCACAGGGGATCCATGTGCCCCGGCAAGGCCATGTTAATCCTCYGCTCCCAGAGCCCCCTAATCCAGGGGGATTTTGTGGGGGCGGGACCAGCCCGCATGCCTGGGCCCCCTTTGAGGGGGAATGCTGTAGTGGGGGGAGCTGGCGCCTGGGCCCCTCTCAGGGATCAACAGGGTCGTGTGAGGAGTGATAGCACCCGCCTGGATGCCTGGGGCCCCGGGAAGGGGGGTGCCCAATGCCCGTGTGTTATTGGTGGCCCCCTTCCAGGAAAACCAGTAGGGAGACAGGTCACAGCACACACGGGGACTACGCTGTGTTTGAATAGCACCTCGCCGTGGCCAGGACGCTCGTTCTGCCTCCTTGCCTCAGCTCCCACCATTGGTACCATCCCTTACCTAAGACAAAAAACTTTAAAATCCTTTTGATTCAGGAGCAAAAGAATGAGATTTTTTTTTCTTTGGTGCCTCTTAGAATATTTATTTCTATCACATTCATTTGTCTAATAGAACTGCTAAAAATGGGGGAAAACATCTGCAGAGACAGTAAGGGTGAGCTCCTTGCTGGCAACAAGTAAATGTGCAGCTGACAAGTGACTACATGAATTACACACATGACAGCTAGTACATGAGCAAAACCAACAGCAAATGCAGGACAGCAATCACAGATGGGAAATCTCCCCAAACGTGTGCCCAGCTCCAGAGCAGATCTTTTAGCCTCCTGGAATCTCAGCTTGGCATCCAGGGTGCACATATCTTGTGCTGGTGGCTCAGAGTCTGGTCTTCATGAAGACCTACAAGAACAGAAATCCCCTTATCCCATAAGAAAAAGAAGATGGCAAAGATAGAGCCCAGGCCATCCTTCTGATTGTGGGTACTCCCCTTGACTTTTACCTTCCAGGCCATGAGCTGCTGATGGCTTTGGAGATGCACACTAAGGAGAGCGAGCTTGGGTAGCCCCGAGCCTGGCATGCCTCCAGGCAGAAAGACTTAGCAGGGACCTTTCTGACCTGGGGTGCTGCACCAAGCAGCGTGTCAGTGAGTGCCTGCAGCTGCACTAACAGCCAGCACTTGAGGAACTCTCCCACAGCCAGGCTGCCTTTGCAGAGCCCCAGCTCCAGCGTGTGGGATGAAGGCCACACTTGGAACAGGCATCAGCATCTGTAATGGTGTTAAAAGAAGGGAAACAGGCCCTGCTTGCGATTTCTACAGTGAACAGGCTGATCCGAGGAAGTTGCCCTGTGGTGCCAAGCTCATTTTGGGCACAGTTCAATAAGAGTCCAGCCTTCGCTTCCTGAATGCTGTAGAGCATAGAGCTGCGTAGTCGCTCAGGTTTTTCCTCTGGGTAGCYAGAAGACAGCTGGGGGTGGATGTGGGAAGGAAGGGAAGTTATTTGAGCTCCTAGCAATGAGCTGGCAGCAGGCAATTGCCTTGCAGACGCAATGTTCTGCTGAATGCTGACTCTTGCATGACGAAGGATGGCTCTGTAAGGCCCTTCATGCCGAGAAAGACAATTGCTGGTGGACTGGGCAGGTATTAGAGGGCTGTGAGGGCAACTCTACCCAGAAGATTTACTACTCGTTTGCAGCTTCCCAGAGCTTCCCGTGACCCATTGTGGGAAACGTACATCTTGCTAGCTCCTAGTGCAGAAATTCCGGATGGTCTTGCTGACAGTGAGCAGAGACTGCTCGCTGGTCATGCTGAGGAAGAGCAAGTCATAGCAGAAAGACAGCCCGGCACCGTTTCACATTTCCTTTGCCTCATAGGGTCACTCTTCTGTCAGCAAGAGGTGTCTGTAGGTCATTCTGCCTTGTACAGGTTGTGGTGTGTAAAGAAGACAACCAGATAGTTTCCTTGTAGTTTCTAGGGTAGCAAGGGTGTCCCACTTGTGTTCTGGAATGTAACTCCTGGCAATTGGAAAAAAAAAAGTGGGGAAGAGAGGAGGTTAGAAGGAAGCCATGGGGTTCTCTGGGTTTGCTTCTGTCTCCCCCCAGCTTCAAGCATGACCAGGTTAAGCAAGGTCTTGCTCAGTTTACTTTGGAATATCTCCAAGGATGGAGACTCCACAGTCTTTTGAGGCTCTATTCTGGTATCTAACTACCATTCTTGTGAACATGTTTTCTCTGTGTGTGGCCAGAAGCTCTGTCCTCCCACTTTGCCCTTTTGGAAAGAATCTGCCTCTGTCTTTTCTCTAGGCTCCCCTGAGGCAGCTGTTCCCATTTGACCTTCTAATCTTTTCTGTTGTTTGGTAGCAGGACAGTGCTGTGTCTGCTTAGCAGCCACTTTCCCTCTCACTTCAATTAATGTCTTTGTCAGGCACTTCAGCACCTTGTTCTCTCCATAGCAGAGGTAGCTCTGGGTGTAAATGTTGTCAATTATACCAGTTAAATGGAGACTTAGAAACTTCCTTCGGCTTCATAACTGCACTCTTTGGCATCAAACTCAAAAGATCCAGATCTCCAAAAGTGTTGGCCATTTCTAGGGACCCACATGTCTTCTTTGGAGGATTCCTGCCTAGAAAAGACAAGATAGGACAGGAAGAGGAGCATAGGACAGCCCCAAGAACCGGGTGCAAGCCAAATTCTCCCAAGGTAGTTGTGGTTTTGTTTGTTTGTTTGTTTTCTTTTTGGGGTATGTTTGTGGTGGAACCAGAGGGGGATGTGTCTGCTGGCTCCCAGATCACCACTGAACTGGATCACAGCCAAACAGGGCAAAGCAGAAGGGCTGTCCTTGAGGGCAAGGCCCGTGCTTTGCTTTTCCAGCCACAGTCAGTGTTAGTTAGCCTGGGGCTTTCTTCCCATGTCCACATGGCATGGAGATGCGCCCTTAACTTCTAGCTGCAACACCCTCAGGCCTGCTTTCTCCCTCCCCTTGCACTGTAGGCTACTCCAAGAATGACTTCTACATCATTTGTGAGGGGCAATGACCCAGATCTTTCATTCTGTGCTAGTTAGTTTAAAAAGCTAAGAAAGATCCAAAAGAAACAAAGAGACAAACAAGCAAGCATACACACCAACGGGCACCCATTGCAACGAAGGTATGGCCGTTTCAGCCTTCTCTCAGCGTAGGGAAGGAACAAATCAGGTAAGTGACATTGATCCAGCCGTAAGCTCTCTCCTCCTGCCCATGGAAATCCACGGGATATTCTTTCCTGCTCTTAGCAATTCCATCTGTGCTTTGATCTGCTGATGAGTTGTTCTTTCCCTAAGAAGAAACCTAAATTGAAGAAACACACATTCCATGAAATCATCGCTATGGAGAGAGCACAAGGAAGCAGTTTGTTTTCTGCTGCTTTGACAGACTGCAGCGTTTGGCGAAGCGCAGCTGGTTTGCRATGCTGCTGCCTGCTCTCTAGCGAGCAGAAGGCGCTCCTGCAGCCTCTGCTTTCCCAAGGCAGGCTCGCGGGGGAAACCGGGCACGGGCAGGGCGAGCACGGGAAGCGGGTAACCGCAGTGCGGGGAGGCGGGAACCAGGGACCGGGGCATCGCGGACAGGGCGTGCCAGGGAGCGGCGGGAACGCCACGGGCGGGCACAGCGGGAAGAGAGCGGCGGGAAGAGAGCGACGGGAGCAGCGCGGCCGGGAGCGACCAGCCGCGCGGACACCGGCCGAGGAGGGAAGCGGGAAGCGGGACGGGAGCGGGCCCCGGAACCCCGCGGACGGAAGCGCCGCGACACGGACAGCGAGAGGAAAGAGCCCAGCGCCGGAAGTCACGTAGCCGCCGCCACCCGCCGGCGCGCGGCGACGTGCCCGGCCGCCGCGCGGTGACGTCACCCCCCGGCGCGCGGCGACGTGCCCGGCCGCCGCGCGGTGACGTCACGCGGCGCCGCCATGCTGTTCTCGCTGCGCGAGCTGGGCCAGTGGCTGCGCCTGGCGCCCTGCGAGCTCGGCCTGCAGGGGCTCGCGCTGCTGCTCTGCTCCGCACTGCTCGTGCTCAAGGTGGACGGCGCGGCCGCCGCGCTCTCCTGCTGGGCCGTGCTCGGGCCCTGCTTCGCCGCCGACGGCCTCAGCACCTATTTCAGCACCATCGTGTCCGTGCGGCTCTGCCGGGACGGCGAGAAGCGGCTGGCCGTCCTGCGGCTGCTCTGGGTGCTCACCGTGCTCGGCCTCAAGTTCGTCTTCGAGCTGCTGCTGTGCCAGAAGCTGGCGGAGCGCACGCACGAGCTCTGGTACGGGCTCGTCATGGCGCCCATCTTCATCCTGCTGCAGCTGCTGCTGCTCCGCGCCTGCCGCGTGAACTGATGGGGCGGCGCGGCSGGGCCGGGCCTGCCTCTGGCCCCAACGGCGGCATTGCTGGGGACAGGCACAAGGGGCCGGGAGCAGYGCCCCAGAGCAGAGCCCCTGCGGAGCAGCTGCGTCGGGACGGGACAGTGCGGAGCCGCAGGCGTGAGGGATGGGGCCCTGGGCCTGCGCTGGACCCAGCTCGAGGGCTGCTTCCGAGCGTGGGCTTTCTGCACTCTCCTCAAAGGACCTTGTTCTGCTGTGTTGCTGACTTTGGCTTTGTTCGCCTCTCATGTTAATGTACCCTGATGTGCAGGCGCTGTTGGATGGGTCAGYTGCATGACAAGCAAAACTGTGCGGATCGTGTAACTGTATATATAGAACTCTTTGCTTGCTGTTTTTTTCCCGCTTCAAAGTTTATGTAGTGGAGCATAAGAATGCTTTGAAAGTTATTTCTGTGCTGTTGGCATCTGTGTAAACCTCCAGCTGCWGCCAGCCTGAAACAAAGAAGCTGCTGCTCATCCTGAAGCCAGGATTTTGACACCAATTTCTTCCRTTCTAGTCTACTCAGTTACCATTTGTGTTGTCCCTTCCCTGAGAGGCACTTGCCACCCTCAGGGTGGCAGCAAGGTTGTCTCACAGGGTTGCATTATGAGCCAGAGAGAGCTGATGCCTCTTTTTGCACAATAATGGAGTTTTTCATGTTTGAGGCCTATTCCCCAACCTAGCCCTAAGGCAGGACTAGAGAGGGGAATGGGTGTTGGGAGGGCAAAGTGAAGGGCCCAAGTAGGAGCAGCTGCTGCTGCTCTTGARGATGGGGTTTTCCTGGATCACAGTTTTGGTGGGAAATGCTCTCCTCAACCGTCTTGAAATGGGGAGGGTTGAATGAGGGGAGGAAGGGGTTAGTCTTTCTAGGGGACATGGAGATGAGCAAATTAATGTGAGTTTCACGAAGTAAAGACAAGTTAGTGTCATTCAGCTGCAGCCGTGAGGCTGTTCAGGACTGAATCATTCCTCTACCTGTGAGACAACAATTGTTTCTTTGGTGCCCAGAGGCTCTTTTGTGCCTTGACGCTCGCTTTGAGGACAGGGATGCTTGCAAGAAGCCTCCCAGCAGTCGTGAGCTTCCTTACCAAACCCCAGCACAGTCTGTACCCTGTCCCTGTGTGTGCTCGCTCTGACTCATCACAAAGTTCCTCTGTCTCTCCACTGGGCACAAAGAGGACAGGACATGTCTTCTCTGGAATGTGTGCAGAGACGTGGTGCCAGCTTGAGCTGCTTGGCCAGGCAGAGCAGGGTGAATGTCACCCTTGGAAGAGGGCCTTGGAAGGGATGGGTGACATCCAGAGTGGTGACCCCATAGGAAAGACCTGGCCCTTCCCTACCAATCCCTGGTAGGGATTGAAGAAGGCTTGGGGGAAGAGCCTGCTCAGGATTCCTTTGAAGTGGTGAGGACAGGGGCTAGCTTCTGGGGCTCGCATTAGGGCTGAGGGTGAGCATGGCCTGGCAGGGAATTGGGATGAGACTGAGGGCTGGGGTGAGAGCAGCTGCTTGGGGTGTGGGTGAGGGGAAGGCTCAGCCTGCCTGCCACTCTGGGCCTGTGTGGGCTTGCAGCACAGCCTCTGTCTGTGCTGGGCACCGCTTTGTTGCATCCCTTGCCCAGTTTGGTGTGTCTGACACCTCAGTGTTGGCCGCCATGGCCTCCTGTGAGTGTTTTGTCAGGAGTAGGTGAGTTGTGAGTGGCCTTGCCACTGCAAAGACCCCGTCATCCTCCAGCTGGGCCTCCTTGGAGTTCCCTTGACCTTCCACTCGACATCAGAGGTTGCCTTCTCCTCACTTCTGCCACCCAGTGGCAGCAAAGCGCTCACAGCACCTGATCAGGCGTGCTGACGCTTCAGCTGCBCAAGGTGCAGAGAGCCTTGCTTCTCGCGCTCCTGCCTGGTGCCCCGTTTGGGCCTTTGTGACTGCCAGGCCCTGGGCGCCAGCAGCATCTTTGCCACAGAATGACTGTGGTGCCTTGCAACAAGGTGTCCAAGCTGGGAACAAACGATCCTCGTCAGTGCCCTGAGCCCAGGCAGAGCGTTTGCTCTTTGGTCAAAGAGCTTTTCTTTTCTGTGAAAACCCTGGGCAAAGGTAGTCACGTAGGGTAGGAAATGAAGGGCTCTAAAGTCCTGGAGAAGACTTAAAGCCTAAGTTGGTTCTGCTTACTCGGTGCAGCCATTCAAATAATCMATGTGCATAGCAGCCACGGTGTAACGTAAGAATTCGTGAGCATCTTCCTGTCTGCCAAGGCAGAAABGCTCACCTCTTCCTAGTGAAGACRAAGACTTACACAATGCTTGTCTCATAAAAAGGGACAGAAGAAGACGTAGTTGGCTAAAACCTCCCTTGCCTCACACAGAAGAAAACAAAGCAAAAATCCCTCCAAACCCATTGCACCCATGAAATAGCCCTCTCAAAATTTAGGCCTTTCTACAGAGAACGTCGTGTGCAAAGACTTACACCTAAGGTCACTGAGGACACCCAGAGGCTCGATGGCCTTGTCGGAGCTGACCAGGACCTGGTTAACGTGTGTTTCCATCGTGCACAKCATGCAGARACCTTGCTCACAACCTGTTGAGTGTCAGGGAAGGAAACACCTCGGTTTACTGAAAGATAGCGATGTTGCTATGGCAAACATTAGGCAACGAGAATCTTGAGGCTTTAAGGGCGCTCTCTGCCTTGCATGCCATGCTCTCTTCTCCAAAAGGGCCAGGAGGCCAGTCTGTGTGCATAAGCATTAACCATGAAGTCCGTAGTAGCGTGCATTTCTGAGGAAACACCTAAAGGACTATTGGCAAGCCATCTTTTGCAAGGGCAGGGAGGTGCACAGGAGTAGCCAGACTAACTCAGAGTGCTTTCACGGTGCTCTTTGGTAGCTTTCCTCTTCTTGCAGTGCAACGGCCACCAGATCAGCTCTCCCAGTGGTCGTGCATTAGGGAAAGCCAGCTGGGACAGAACCCTGAGAACCGGTGACACCCTCCTCCAACATTTTATCATCTTTCTAGGAGCTGGAAAGTAACACAGGCCAACTAGTCATGAAGTGCCTTGCTTCGCAGAACCCTTGCTCATGCACAGGAGGGAAGCAAGGATGCTTCCTTGCCATTTGAGCATGGCGTGTTCAATGAAGGCAAGCAGTGCAGCAGCTCCCCTGAGCCTGCCATGCACGCACTGTTAAACGCCAGGCTCTCCAGGCCAAATAGGGAAAAGTCAGAGTTTGCTTCCCAGCGGCATTCTTGTTCTTTCCCCAGGGGCAGAGCTGTCCAGGACGTTGCGAGGACAGCGTTCGCATGTACTCACACGACTGGCTGTGCTCTTTGGAAAGCATGTAATTGGCCAGAGGAGCAGTGTAGGTCAAGCACTGCAGAACTGAGTTGAGAAAACACGTGTTGCCCAGGTTGTGAAGTCCAGCTGCAACGCTTTGCCTCTGCTGCCAAGCCACAGRAATCTTCTTGGCTGGGAAAGGCGTCCTCTGTGGTGGAGCAATTCCCTCAGCAATGGCTGCAAGGAAAGCAGATTATCAAAGAGACTGCCAGCCTTGGTTCTAGGAAGGCAGGTTTCAAAGCTAGTGTTCCGGAGAGCAGCTGCCGTGGAGAAGACAAGCACCTAGCAGAGAGAGCCCATGAAGRCTGCCACCCACACRCACTGGCCAGTCTAGGCCTTATTCATCTCTTTTCCTTCTCCTCATGGGCAACAATGACTCCTTGGCCCTGGGGAGTCACAAAACTAACCCTTCCTCTTGAAACCTTTACTCACAGGAGCAGCTCCTTTGTTGGTCATCTCCTGCAGGCGGYACCAGATCCCAGCCCACAAAGAGGGATTCCATTTCTACACCGTCCAATTCCAATTGGAAAAGGAAGGAGCCCAGTTCTTCAGAGGGCTTGCTCAGCCCACGCTGGCTTTCAGCAGCGTGCCCGCGAGCACCAGGGCAGGGAGCGTGCAAGCAGCTCTTGYGCCGTCACCCTCTGTGCCACCGTGTGACGCCCGGGGCCAGTGAGGAGGCTCATAGCAGCTGAGCGCGCGCTTCCTCCTGTGATGCTGTCAATGGGATTGCAGCGTGTTTCTGAGATGTGGGTGCTGAGGTCACGTGCCCTGCCCACCTTTATGAGGTGGGGTCATGGCACAGACATCCTCACCTGACACCAGGTACGGCGGGGAGCTGTGCARAGCCTGTGGGATGGCACGCTCACGTTGGTGCAGGGTGTCTCTTTCCATCTTGTGGCGTGCGCCACACGCTCTCAAAGGCTGGTAGAGCACGCCGCCGCYGTCCGAGAGGAGGTCTCTTTTGAAGGCATTCTCTCTGAGTGAGGATGGGCTCATCTTGCAATACTGGCAGCAGGGAAAGAGCCCTTCAGCAGCCCTCGTGAGCAAGACTGCGTGAAGAGCTTGGAAGGCCAGGGGGCTTCTCGGTCATTCTGAGAGCCTCTGCACAACTTCATGAGTCTCCACAAAYGAGCAGAAACGCCTGAGGCCGCTACGCGTTATTAGCAGTGCCTGTGCATGAGCATTGTCAGCATGCTTTGACTTTCTCCCTGCTGAAGGCTCTGCCAAGGACAGGGCCGCTCTCTCCTTTTGTCCTCTTAGTGGCAAACTTAGTGCYGCAGAATTGACCCAGAGCAGAGTTTGCATCAAACTAGACAAGAGCAGCTGATCTTCACTATTCAGTGGGGTACGCTTTGCTAAGTTTTCTTGGCAAATTTGTGCTCTGCCATTAGCATGTGAGCACGTGCAAGACATTGTTGTTTKGGTACTTCTTTTCCTAGTGCATCAAATGTTGCCCATCACTACGCCAAAGGGTACTGCACTTTGACCTTGGCTCTCTGAGCTCCTACAGAACTCTTGCAGCAGTAGGGGAGGCCCTGCAGAACTCTTGCAGCCGCCCTGGGCCTCCATGCACATAGGGTCCCTATGGCCCTCCRTGTGGCCCTCCCATGGCCTCAGTGTGCATGGGGACCTACAGGCCCCTGTTTGGCCCCAAGGGGCCTTTGTG